GATTTAGTGCACATACACACCAGGATCATAATCAAGTAGTCATATCAACTGTAGCACCTGCTTCCATCCAGTACAGTTAAATGTCCTTAAACCTCCACAGCATTTCAATAAAAGCCAGAATAATGAATTCTTGAGTTGTCCCCAAATCTTGTCCTACCTCATGTTTTCAATCCAGTAACTCCTTAACTCAGTCTTTCCTCAAGTTTATAGTGACCTTGATATCCTGCATAAGCCTTAAGACCTTAGAAGTTATCAGAAGCATACTCATAAATCCTTTAGTTAATCTTCAGTTATCTCCATGATCTCTGCCTTTCACCTGCCCTAGGTTTGTTTCAGCTCTTCTACCTGACAGAAGCAATGTCATCACAAATTCTTCCTCCCTCAACATTGTTTTTACATTTGCATTTTTTTTTTAATTTTCAAACTTAAAAAAAGTTGCAAGTATAATACAAGTAACTGCTGTGTAACCTGTTCCTAGATACACCAATCATTTGCTTTTGCTTCATTTGCCTCATCATTTCTATCGCTAAATTATATGAGAGTAAGTCATCATGCCCCTGAGTAATAATAAAGTATTGCTCTTAAATACTTTAGCTACTAAAGAGTAATACTGAAGTATTACTGTTAAATACTTTAGTGAGTGTTTCCTGGGAAAAAGGAAATTCTCTTCTATAAGGTGAACAAATCACAGAGACACTAAATCAAGAACCACGATCACACCTAAACACTAAGTGTCATAAAACATAAATTAAGACATAAAGTTGAGTTTTCTACATCACAATTCCAATGCATCTTCTTCTGATTTCTGCTGACCTTTTACTGCTTTCCTCCAAGGCCTTGAGGAAAACAATGCCTTACCCCAGAAAAGAAAGAGTAGCACGATTAGAGCCCCTCACCTCACCTGTTCTTACCTCTTATTACCTCTCCTTCTCCTATTTGATCAAGAACACTGTTTCTGGAAAAGATAGTTTCCTCAGAGTGACTGATCACCCAATATGAATGTTCATTTAGAAACTGAAAATGCTTACCCTCATTTTTTTCCATGACCTAAAACATTTCTCTTACTTTCTCCTTGACCATGGCTCATGTATCTTCCCAGGCAAGACTGAGGGCTATTTTTTCTTGAAAATACATTAACTCCTTTTTTAACCAGTAGAGAGTAAGTTGCTAACACAAAGGTCATCACCCTCAAATATTTTAGTATTTCCTACAAACAAAGACATTCTCCTTTGTGACCACAAAGCAATCATCAAAATCTGAAAATTAACATTTATTAATTATTGCTACGTAATCCTCAGATTCCCGGTCAAAGATTTTTCAAGTGTGTCAAATTCTTTATAACAAAAGAATCAAGCTCTAAATCAAAGATTTTATTTATCGTTATTTACCTCCTTAAAACTAGAAAAGTTCCTCAGTCTTTCTCTACCTTTTATTACTTGGACACTTCCAAAGATTACAGGCTGGTTATTTTGGTGAATATTCCAAAATTTTTATTGTTCAGATACTTCCTTACGATTCGATTTATGCTATGAGTTGTTGGCAGAAGGAATGCTGCTTTTTTTTGTTATTGCATGCTATCAAGAGGCATGTGATTCTGAATTATCCTATTTCTAATGATGTTTGTCTAATAACTTGATTAAGGTTATATAAATCAAGATTCTTTACTTTGAAGTCACTCTTTGTCTGTTTAAAATTAATAAATGTTTTTCAGGGAAGTAGTTTGAAACTAAATATCCTGTTCATCAAAGTTTTTAATAATTATTTAATGTATATTATCTTGGATCCATGGCTTACTATTTTATTTAATAATTTATAATTACCTTAATTACTTATATTAGTATTCAAATTATTGCCAGCATGGTCAGTGCGATCTTTAAGCTAGCTTTGCTGTCCTTTTGACAGGTCTTCATTATCATCAATCATCAGGAAAGTGCAAAGCAGAACCAAAATCAGATATTACCTCACACCTGTTAGAAGAATGACTATTTAAAAAAACAAGTGTTGCCAAGGATGTGAGAAAGTTAAAACCCTTGTACACTGTTGGTGTAAATGTAAAATGGTACAGTTGTGTTGAAAAATAGTAGGTTTGTTAAATGGAAGCTTTTCAGATGTGATCCAGCAATCCCACTTCTGGGTATATAACCAAAGAATCTAGATCAGCATCTCAGAGAGATCAGCATCTCAGAGATATCTGCACTCAACGTTCATTGCAGCATTATTCACAATAACCAAGACATGGACACAATTTAAAACCTGTAGGACATTATGCCAAGTATAATAAGGCCGTCATGATTTCACCTACATGAGGGATCTAAAATAATTAAAGTCACAGAAACAGGAAAATGGTGGTTGCCAGTGACTGGGGAGAGAGAGAAATGGAGAGATACTGTTTAACAGGTACATAGTTCCAGTTATACAATATGAACAAGCACTAGAGATCTGTGTGTATCATTGTGCCTATAGTTAACAATGCCATATTGTGCACTTAAAAATTTGTCAGAAGAGTAGATATTATGTTGTGTTCTCACCATAATTAAAAAAAAATCTTTAATCCATGGGAATGTGTGTTGTAAAGGGTTTGACTCAGAGTAAGTATTTTCCTCTCTTTTACCTTAATTATCTTGTCACTTAAAAAAAAATCTCCTCAGATTTGTATTACTCCTTATTTGATTCAACAAAATATTTACTGAGTCCCTACTAAGTATAAAACAAAGTACTAGGTGGTAGATGGAATGAAGAGGACAAACTACTTTAAGGATCTTCTTTTCTCCATATATAAATACCTGTAACAGGAAGCAGAATATTATAATTACCAGGGAAATTTCATAATAACTACAATGATGTTGAAGCACTTTCTATGCACAAAGCACTGTGCTGAGTATTTAGTGTGCATTACTAGCCATTCAAATCCCATGAATGTGGGGATATTCCTGTTTCACACATGAGGAACTATAGGTTCAAAAATTTTTTTTTTTGAGACGGAGTTTCGCTGTTGTTACCCAGGCTGGAGTGCAATGGCGCGATCTCGGCTCACCGCAACCTCCGCCTCCTGGGTTCAGGCAATTCTCCTGGCTCAGCCTCCTGAGTAGCTGGGATTACAGGCACGTGCCACCGTGCCCAGCTAATTTTTTGTATTTTTAGTAGAGACGGGGTTTCACCATGTTGACCAGGATGGTCTCGATCTCTTGACCTTGTGATCCACTCACCTTGGCCTCCCAAAGTGCTGGGATTACAGGCATGAGCCACCGCTCCCAGACAGTTCAAAATGTTTAAATGCTTCCCTGACTGTCCACATTTATAAAATGAGAAAACTAGATTTGAAATCCAGGTTTGTCTAATTCCAAAACCTTTGCACTTCATTACTATGGCATTCAGAAGATAAAAACATCCTAATTTATTAGATCAGGAGAGATGTCATGGAGATGGCATATGAAACAGACTTTTAAGCGGCATTGGAGTTTAAGAAGCAGAGATATGTCTGAAAGCTACTTCAGTTATAAAGAAGAGAATGGGTCAAAGTATTTAAAAGGAGAGACCCATGGCATGTAATATGATTTATAAGTAGCTGAGTTTGACCACACAATAGGATTTGTGGAGGACGCAAGTTCAGACCAATAGATTGGAAAAGAACTGTGAATGGCTCCAGATCCCAGGATACTGATTCTGCATTTCATTCAAGACACAAAAGGTAGCTTAAGCAAACTGCAACTATAAACCTCATTCAGACGTTCAGAGAAATGACAAAGAGGGGAAATGCTTTGAGAAAGTGGCAATTAAGGTATGACCCACTCTGAAGATCAGAACAGGAGAAAGAAAAGATTATGGGTGGCAGTTACTGAATCAAGAAAATTCATCCAAGAATGTTGGGAGGAAAGATGGAAAAGAGTCGATGAAATGCTGGCAAAATAATAATAATTATTATAATAAAGAGAAAGGGAAGTGTTCAGGAGTAGAGTAATCACAATAAGGTGTACAGCAGATTAACAGAATTAAAGAAGTAGGATAAATGGAATTACAAAGATCTGTGGTTAAGAAATTTCAGTTTGATATTTGGGGGGGGAAAAGCAAGGTTGAGTTATTATAAAAGCATTCAGGACCATTTAACCACAAGAGAAATGGGGGTCACTGTTAAAGCCCATCAAAAAAGTCAAGAAAATAAAATCTACATAATGCATGGCGCACAACAGACATTCACAGAAAGTATGTTCAATGAATGCATGCATATATGCATGCATGAATGTTAAGAGAGTATCACCATATTTGGTTATTAAACTCTGCCTTAAATGGCTGGGGTCAGAAGATAACAAAACTGTTGGTCAACTGCTGACCTCTCTGAGAACAGTGAATGTGTATCTGGGAAGGCAAGTCATGTATAAAAAGGGAAAGGGAGAGAGGCAGGTGAGAGATGGTCAGAACAGTTCCTCAGAAACTGGAGAGCATATCCTCTGGTTTTCTGAATCTCCTTAACAAAGTGCTGGCATATTATACTACATTAATAGGAGGAGGGTATAGATTTTTAGTTTTTGTTCAGCAGAAAGCAGAATCCCAGAATGTTCTACAAACAGAAGACTACTTCACAGAACAAAAAAGAAAGAAGAGGCCTTGTTTCCACAGCCTGTTAGATTCCTGAGCTCAGGGAGACCCTCCACATGACTCAGGATCTCATGGAAGAACACAGGGTCCTCAGACAGAGTGGAGAGTAGCATGACACCCTCTTGACATGACCAGCCCAGCCCCTCATCTCATCCTTAACCCTGCAGCTCTGTAACCACTGTCTTCCAAGCAGCAAAATCTGGGTCACAGGACTTGGAGCTCTAGCAGTCACTTGTGTCTAATAAATAACTCCCATTGATTTTCCAGCCCAGGGCCTGACCACTCCTTCCCCATCAGCAGCTCTGATTGCTGACACAAAGGGGGCAGAGCTGGAAAATCACTCACACATTATTGGTGCTCTTCCTCACCCATCCTCACCCAAAGTGTATATAAACCCTGAATAGCCTGCAGCCTAAGTTTGTGAATCTCTACGTAACTAAGTTACAAGCTGGGTGGGCACAACCATTGTGCTACATGCTACCCTCATCCTGGTCACTGCTACTGCTGTGACAGTCCAGGCCAAAAAGATGGATAAACTGCTCTTTTGGGTTTCTGTCCTCACCAGCCTCCTGGAAGCCATTGCCCAAACAAGTAGGGAGGTCAGGGGTATATGACTATGGGGGGTAGAGCAGGTGGGGGTGGCAGGGATAGATGGTAGGAAGAAAAGATAAGAGGTTGCCAAGTATAAAATTGAATTTGTGATACTTTTGGTGTTCACATTTCAGGTGAAGATTCTGATATCAATTTTTTTTCTCTTGCAGACATGACTGGGAAGGTGTTTATTTTTCCTGAAGAATCGAATAGTGCTCACGTGAGCGTGACTACACAGCTGGAGAAACCTCTGCAGAACTTCACTGTATGTCTTCGTGCTTATACGGACCTCTCCCATGGCTACAGCCTCTTCTCCTATAGCATCCAGACCCAGAGCAACGAGATGGTCATTTTTAAGTCTCAAATTGGAGAGTACAACCTTATCATTGGGGGTGACAAAGTTTTCTTCAAGGTCTATGAAAATTTCCCCACCCCAGCGCACATCTGTGCTAGCTGGGAGTCCTCCTCGGGTATTGCTGAGTTCTGGGTCAATGGGAAGCCTTTGGTGAGGAAAGGGTTTAGGCAGGGTTACTCTGTGGGAGCTCACCCCAAGATTGTTCTGGGGCAGAAACAGCATTCCTATAGAGGCAAGTTTGTTAAGAGCCAGTCCTTTGTGGGAGAGATTGGAGATGTGTACATGTGGGACTCTGTGCTGTCCCCAGAAGAGATCTGGTTTGCGTATCAAGGTATCCACATTGAACCCAATATTCTGGACTGGCAGGCACTGAACTATACAATGCAAGGTTATGTGGTCACCAAGCCCCTTAAATGGAGTTGAAATTCTACTTCAATAGGACAAAGTGACTGGGAAGGAAATCACCAACATGAAAGACAATTCTACTTCATGCCCTATGGCTATTTCTCTGTTTTCTTTGAATTTCCTATCTACTGAGCTGCTTAATTTACAATAAAAGTACAATGTCTCCTAGCAATTGTTCAGTTTTTTTTCACGGCCCAAAACATCTCTCATTTGGAAGTCACGTTTCGAGTGTAGCCATTATTCAGAAAGTGGGGAAGAACCAGGATATAATGAAAACAAAATTTGGAATAAGAAGGAAAAAGTAAAGGGTTTACACTTGATTAGTAGTAGAAACTTTCAGACTTTTCATTTAATGGGGTTTATTCTTGTTTTACTCACAACCGACAATTATTTACTCGCAATTATTTGTGTGGAATTTAATTGAAGAATGCCAAATTGGATTTCCAGGTCACAGCTAATAGAAACAGAAAGAACAGTTCTGGGGTTGCTCTAGCCGTGAATAGCTCTTCCTCCCTTCCTTATGACACATCCCTAGACCCCTTCCAGTAAAACACGTGCATGTAAACCAGGGCAGCAGGACTACTGGGACCATGTGGGCCAAGGTGAATCTTCCTCACAGCCAGTAGCCCAGGAGCACTGTGTATCATTAAAGATCATACAGTGTCCCACAGTCATCAAGAAAATATGTGCTCAACAGTACTCATGTCACCTTTGCTTAAAATCCCTTAAAGATTCCCAGGTACTTATATAATAGACTTGTCATTTGAGACTGAAAAGGTTTTCTAAATGCTAAGGAAGAGCTGCTGCATGTATTCCTTACAAGTCCCATCGGCTTCCCCACCAACTAGTAAGAAAATGGCAACTAGATCAGGATAGGCAGGTGTTTTGTTGGTATGAGAAATGTTTTACTTCCCTCTGCCATCTCCTGACTTAACCACATATTTTCTGTTTATAATACATGTATTAATCTGTTTTCACACTGCTATAAAGATACCACCTGAGACTGGGTAATTTATAGAGAAAATAGATTTAATTGATTCACAGTTCCACACGGTTTGGGAGGCCTCAGGAAACTTACAATCATGGTGGAAGGTGAAAGGGAAGCAAGGCAGGTCTTACACGGTGGTGAGAGAGAGTAAGTGAGCAAAGGGGAAGTGCTACATTGTAAAACCATCAGATCTCATAAGAACTCACTCATTGTCACAGAACAGCATGGGAGAAATAGCCCCCATGATCCAATCACCTCCCACCAGGACCCTCCCTTGATATGTAGGAATTACAATTTGAGATGAGATTTGGGTGGGGACACAGAGCCAAATCATATCAATATATTTTTTTTCATTATTTTATATTTTTAATACTAGAAAGAACAAAAACACTATCCTACCTTTTATATTTGATGAATATAATGTTAATAATCTTTTGCTGGCATTAACTCAATGAATTTTAGTTTTTCCTTTAAAACATCTCTCCCATGCAGCCTTCCATCCCTAGGACTAAGCTATGTGACATATTGTTCCCAGGTAGGCATAATTTAGTAAGACAGAAAACTTTTTAAGTGTGAGTGTGAGATCTCCACATGTGGGGAGGTATGGGAAAGTCTACATGTTGGAAAGTCCACAAAACCCATTCTGGTACAGCCACAAGCTGGTGGTGACTCTGTCAGCCAAGATCCCTGAGTGATGGTTTACAGGAGAACGCTCCACAGTGCACAGCATACAGTAGATAAGTACTACATTATATCAAGCCACTGACAGTCCAGCTTCTATTTGCTGTGGAAACATAGCCCTGTTCAATCTAAGATATCTACTGAATGATGGATAATGGGAAAAGATGGAAATAAATCACAGGACAATTTGTTCCTTCTGTCTCTTAAGGGTTGTATGAAGGAAAAGGCAGACTGAAGAGAAAGAGAATCAGTTAGATGTGTGTGTCCTGATTCCTCCTCTCCGGGCTACCTATGCTAATCCAGGAATCATCCCATCAAAGTGAATGTGGTGGTTCAACTCACTGTGGGAGAGGGTCCTAGAAACGTACCTTAACTTGTGATCTCTGTTTCCAAATGGGGAATATGTTTCTTCAGACCCTGAGAGGAGCTCAGAAAGCAGGTGATATGAAAGACAATAGGGCTTCTATGGGACGCATATGGGAGAAAGCACATTCCCTTTTCTATATCCAGTCACCATCTTTGGGAAGTGTAGGGAAGAGCATGGAAATGGGAAGCATTGATCAATTATTCCAGAAGATTACCATATAGAGGGATGACTTACATTATCAGTCCAGACACCCCCACTGCCTTGCCTACTGAGTAGTGGTGGTTCATGAAGAAGATCAGAGAGCTACCATGTGAATAAAATACTCAGCTTCACCACACAGATAGTCCCACTGGGAACTTGTGGAAAGGAGACTCCTCTTCTGTAAAACATGGAGAAGTTCTGAGGCCTGGCTTATAGAACTTTGATATCACATAACCACTTTATTCCTTCCTTCACTTGTCTAATAAACTGATATTTATTTCACACCTACTATGTGTCAGACCCTGTGGTAAGCACAGGAGATACAGGACAGAGCAAAACAGATGGAATGTCTGCCCAAAGAGTTTTGCCACTAGAACAAATTTCTACAACTTAACAATTAACTAATGTTGTAAACACTGGCTACTGAAAGTTGACATTTCTCCAGCCTCCTGTTAATGCTATACGTTTTCTCCCAACCTCTTCTTCAGGAGGAGAAATAAACCTTTTTCGGAAGTGTTAATTCCCACTGATAATGTCTGTAAGTTACAATAGTCAGTTAGTCGTGTAAATTGAATTGGATCCGGTAGCCATCCCCTGGTACCTTCTGTAACTGTCAGATACATTGGCAGTGGTAGCAAAGGAGAAAAAAAATCTCAACTTAGGAAACACTTGTGACATTCATAACCCACTGGGAAAATTTTTTTTTTTTAATCTTCACAGCATAGAGGCCCAGAAACATACCTGAAGAGAGAAACCGGAGTCAGAGATCACAATCATTTCTGATCTTTCCAGTTGTCATAGGGCCAATGAAGCCTTGAAGAACAATGAATATATAGGTGTCCTAGGATAAATGCCCAGTGGGTAGAGCAGTCACTAACATCAATGTCCTTCTTTTGATCCTCTACCATATTCATGGGTGAGTCTACAATCTATGGTAGAGATTGGGCAAAGAGTCTACAATAAGCTCCTCCCATGCAATTTACTAAGAAATTTTCCAGGAAAAAAGCACATGATATGGTTTGGCTAATACAGCACATGTAGTAATACTCTGCTCCATACCATTATATCCCACAATTTACTTAGGGAAATTCAGTGTAGATCTTTAAGATTACAGTAAATAATAGTCTATTTAAGACTACAATAAAATTTAGCTTCAGATTGGGTTGAGATGACAAAAAGTGAAAGATTTGACCTAGAAGTGTTCATTGCTAGTTCCTTTTGAAGTGTGAAACTGAACTTTTCAGATGACCCAAAGAGATATGTCAATGCTGACATGAAAAGAGGAAACAGACATGGATCACTTTGACCTGATGTAGATAATAGCTTTCTGAGTTATAAATTGGCTTCATTTGAGCTTCAGAGTTTTCCATTATCCTCCATAACTATAGATCATCTTAAGTTGCACCACATGAATTTAAAACTATTTTTATAGTGAAAATGATTCAAATATCACCAATTTCATTGATGTGTTTCAACCCAATAGGTACTCAGAGAAACAACCTCACAGTTGGGATAATACAGTGTTTACATCTAGAATAATACAACTGTAGGAGTCAGGGTTCACTGGACCAGCCCACCAGGGGTGCTCCTGCCCCTGCAAAAGTCAGGAAGGTGAGGCGTCAGGAGGCCACTCCCAGGCCTGCAGCTTTCCCAGACTTCCCACTCCGATAGTGATCCAGGGTTCAGAAAGCCACTGATATATTGCAGCTGATATATTCCATGAGGCCTGGAGGCTCCAAAGGGCCCACTCAGCTATGTCTCTAAGAGATAAATGATCTCCAATGAAAACAAAAATGTGCTAAGGTAATGTATTTCTTTACTGCAACCTCTTGGGAACCATCTACCCACCTCCCAAACACAGACAGACAGATGAAAGAGTTGATAGAGAAAGAGAGGGAGGGGGAACAGAGGAAAGAGAAGAAAGAAAAAGAAGGAGTAGCTAGGTAGAGAAAAGTTGTTATAACCATTTGGAATGCTCTCAACTGCCAATACTCCAACTCCTGGACTAACAGTGGCTGAAACTAACAAAGATATATATTTTTCTCTGTGTCTCACACCAAGAGGTTTAAAGCAAGTAGTCCAGAGTGGTGCATTTTTAATGTCTTCTTTCAGATCATGTTGATTCCAACAATGTAGGTCACAAAATGGCTTCAGCAGTTCCAGCCATCACATTCATGTTTAAGGTAAAAAGAAAGAGAAAGAGGCAAGCACTGGAAATACCCATTCTATATTTTAGAAAAGCCAAAGTTTTCTAGAAGCCCTCTACCCCATCCCACTCCATGCAGAAATCTGCTACATTTCATTGGCTGGAACTATGTTAAATGCAAGATGCTGAATTATTGGGTATTTAGTAGCCAGCAAAGTTGTGGCAATGGTGTTTTTTCTGAAGCAGCATTCCAGCTTCTAGACACTAGCTTCGTGGGGTTCAAGAGGCAGTTGTGGTAGCAGTGGTGGGAAAAACAAAGCAAAACAAATCTGAATTCCAGTGTCTGGCCACTAGCGACTTTGCTGCTGACAGGCATCTGCCTCAGCATCAGTGGCTTTCTGAACCCTGGATCACTATCGGAGTGGGAAGTCTGTGAAAGCTGCAGGCCTGGGAGTGACCTCCTGATCCCTCACCTTCCTGACTTTTTGCAGAGGCAGGAGCACCCCTGGTGGGCTGGTTCAGTAATTTGGTCTAGAGTCATTCCCAAAGACACAGCTTAGAGCCTGCGCCTACAGTCCTTTGTGATTTTGTAAACACTTAATCACATTGTTTAAACATCTTTCTGTTTATAATAGCTTGCACGGTTTCTGCTTCCTGCAATGAGGCTCTAACTGATGCACAAGCCTACTTACTGTTTTGCCACAGGTAGTGAAGTGAAAAGCAGGCTCTGCAGGACCTCAGCCTCTGCCCAGGCCTGTCAAGAAGAAACTAACAAGAACTAATTT